ATTTATAGAATACTACAGCACATCAACAAGAAAAAGATAAAAAACCTGATCACAAAATGGGCAGAAGATATGAACAGATACTTCATCAAAGAAGAAAGTCAGATGGCCAAGAAATACATGAGAAGAAAAATGCTCAATATCACTATTAGAGAGATGCAAATCAAAACAACAATTGGATATCATCTTACTCCAGCACAAAATTCAACAGGGAAACAACAAATTTTGGTGAGGATGGAAATAAACTATAACTCTCATACACCACTGTTGAGAATATAAACTGGTACAACCCGCTATGCAAGGCAGTCTGGCACTTCCTCAAAAAATTGAAAATTAAAAAGCAAACAAAAAATTGAAAATAGAAATACTGTTTGACCTAGCTATTCCACTACCAGGAATACCAAAGAAAACTGTAGCACAAACAGATGTATGCACACCCATATTTATCATTGTGTTATTTACAATAGCAAGGAGATGGAAGCAACCTAAGTGGCCATCAACAAACAAATGGAGAGAAACTATGGTACAACGACACAATGGAATGTTATGCAGCATTGAAAAACAAAGAGCTTGTAAAACACTACAAAATATTAATGAGTCTGGAAGACATTATGCTGAGTGAAATATCTCAGTCGCAAAAGAGCAAATATTGCATAGTGCAACTGTTGTAAAATGGGACTGACATCAGGATTGCGGGGAGACTGAGAAAGATGGGATAACTTATGTATATTGCATTGAAATAGATGAGGGAGAGAACTGTTTAAAATGGATATATGATTAGGTATTATTGTCATAACAGGAGTCCAGAATGAAGGCTGAATAGTGGAGTGGACTTGGGGGAGGGATTGTATAACAGTGAAAGAATTTTCCTTTTACTTTTTAAAACAAAGGTTGCATAGTGGGGTGGGCTTGGGGGGAAGGATTGGATGACAATGAAAATTTTTCAAAGAGAAGAGCAAAAGGGGGAGAAGGTTGGGCAGGGAGAAAAGTGAAACAATGAACAAATGGAAATCCAAAGTCTCTGTAAACTTTCATTAAAATTAAAAAAAAAAAAAGAAGAAGATGTAAAGAGTATATAGTCATTGTACCAAAAGGACTTGGTGGACACAGAAGAATTTCATGAAACAACATACGAGCAAGAGCCTGTGGTTATGAAGGAAAAAGTTTAAACTTCTCTGAAAGAACTTGTAAAAAACAAGGCCTCAGGAATTGATGGCATACCAATTGACATATTTCTACAAATAGACACTCTCCTGGACACACTCATCAACTTGTGCCAAGATATCTGGAGGACAACCACCTGGCCAACTGATACTTGTATTGGTCATAGCC